TGTGTTCGTGTTACATATATCTTTGCCGCACTGTACTGTGAATACATCGTGTGTAAACATTTTTTGTGGTTATGAGTCATTACCTATCCTTTGTTTGATTTAGTACTTGATTTTCTTCTTTAAAAAAAAACAAAACTCCCTAGATGAAGGATAATGTTGTTGAACTTTTAAGCTGCATGAAGTTTTTTCAGAATGAGATGTTCACATTCAGGCTTGTGTTTGGTGTACTTAGCAATGCAAATAAACTCAGAGGTGAAAGATGCGAATAACTAAAGCATGAACAAAACACTAAACTCAACATTGAACAAGAGTTCATCATGTGGAATTAACATTTTGATTCGTCTAATTTACACAACCACAAGGTTGTCAATAGGTGGGTGTTAGTGTTATTATAGTGTGGTTTTAGCATCACAATGATATTTCTATGACTTTGACCGTGGGACAGAAAGTCAGCACTGTGTGACCTCCATTGGCTGCTATTATAATTTATAATTTCTGGTCTGCATCTTCTACCCATAGAGTTCACGAAAGTGTTTATTTGTTGACCTGGGATCTGTACCCACACCTGGCTGAAGGCTGCGGCCACTTGAGTAATTGAGGAGCTCTCTGTGGTCTTGGCTGTAGCTAGTTGAGCTGCATCAGCATACACATGTAGTGTCCCAAAAGTGCTCATTGGGATTTAAGTCAGGTGAACGAGCCAGATGTGGCAAAAGATTGATGCTGTTCTGCCCCAGGAACTGCTGTGTTACACTGGCAATATGAGGTATTACTGGAAACAAAATGTTTGGGTGTTTCTGGGAAAAGGGCATCATATGACTTATGAAACTGTTGAGGAACTTGGACGGTGTAGTGCTGAGTTGTGACCCAATTTCCTTGTCCATGACCCATGTTCTGGAAGAACGCTAGTCCAATTCTTTGGTTTTAGAGGGTGATGACTCCTCAAACCATGATGATGCGTGTCCATCCCCGAGAGTCTCTCCATGAAGTCGGCATCAGCACATCAGGTCTGTGCGCTACACACAGTTTTCACAGTTGCGCCCATATGCCAGATCAACGCAGAATCTGCTCTTGTTGATGAACAGCACCCTTCTCCATGGTCTTTTCCTCCAGTTCACATGAGTCCGTGCCCACCGAAGCCAGTCACGGCCGTGCTGAGGGGTCAGAACTGGTTTGTGATGCCGACCTAGCATCTGCGTTTGTTGCCATTTTTTTGTCCAAAAGTTGCCACAAAAATGGCAAAAATTGCCATAAAAGTTGCCATTAACTTTCAAGCTTTCATCTCTCTTTGACTTTGACGACTTATAGAGCAATTTGTTGATAAAGGTAACTTAATCTAAGGCACCACAATTTCATGTGCAGAATCCAGAATATCATTTGTAGCCACACAGAGTGTAAAAACGTGAAAAATAAAGGTTTCACAACCGAATAAAAAAAAATTAGAACAGCACATACTCAACCACTGAAATTAACAAATTTTAATAAGTGCGTGTGTCCACATATCCGAAAATTGGCCGTTTAAACCCTAAACGTGTGCAATTCAAGAAAAAGTAGGCCTACAAGATATTACATTTAAATTATGAAATCATACACAATGTCAGTGTGCGGTTTCAGTGGAGACGCACTCTAACATAACACATTTTCTATTATATATAATATAGGTAGGAACAACCTCAAATTAAATGACATTTTGCTATAATAAAAACAAAAAATGGTAAAACAACACAGAACAAAAATAACAATTAAAAAAAAATTAAAACACAAAACAGAAGGAAAAATAAAAGAGAAACAGCAATAGAAATAGTATGTAATGTACTCATAGTATACTGTTCAAGTAAACAATAATTTCAAATCAACGTGGTGTCAACAAGTGAGAAAGAAGAGACAGAGTGAAGCTGAAGTGAAAATGAACTTTCTTTCTAAAAGTAAAGAGGTTCGGTTTCTTTTCCTTTTCTTTTTCCTTTTCTTTTTTAAAAACATTTTTATTCCTTAGCAGTGGTTTTGTTTTTGTTTTTTTGAAAAATGCAAAAATCACAATCGCGGACCAAAAAATGCCAAAAATCGCGTCCGCAACAAATGCAGATGCTATTCAGACCTCTGTACATGTACCAGAGGCATGTGGAGTGCAATCTCCGTCATACAGTACAGTTCTGGTACTACTCCCTTGTCCCGTTCATCCGATGATGTTCCCCTTTTTCAGGAAGGTGTTCATCCGGTATTGGATTTGGCGCACCATGAAGAGATACTGAGCTGCAGTTGTTGCCTTTGGTCTTCCGCTCGGGGGAGATCTGATGGCTGTTATGGTGGCTTGATTCTGTGTACGATGGAGACATGCACGCCTATAACAGTTGCCATATGTAGAGCAGACTCTCCAGCATGTAGTCGACCAATACTGTAGCTCCTTCATGGTTTTCTGACAGAAATTTTGGCATCTTGATACTGCTTTAGTTTCCAACTGAATTCCATTCTGAGGCTTCAACTTCAAATTTATAGGTCAGGCCTATGCAGAGGCGAAGCGTCTATAATCAAATAATCACTGCTTCCCTTCCTAATTTTGAAACATTGTCCAGTCAAATTCACCCATAG